AAGGACTAAGATAGTTGAGTGTTATAGTGACACTTTATTTGCCCTAATCAAGGATATTGTAAAAACAAGTTTTCGTGTGATATCTGTATTTGTAAATGTTCTGAAGAAAAGTCCCATTCCAATCTATTTTGTTTTCAGATTGGTTGTACAGCCCTGCATTATGCCAGTTATAAAGGGCATGTAGATATTGTAAAAACATTGTTAGAGAGAGATGCAGATGTAAATGTTGTTACTAAGGTAAAGATGTAGCTCTGTATATTAAAGACCCTCAACTGTAATGATTCTGTTAATGCCACTTATCTCTATTCCACACTTCAGGGAATCAGGGAAAATATTACACATGATGAAAACTATAAGACACATTCAGACATTTTCTCTCAAGGAGTATATTATTTTTCAGAAAGGGAATACAGCTCTTCATTTTGCTTCTCCAAAAGGTCATCTAGATGTGGTCAAGTTACTACTTGATAATTCAGCTGATGTTAACACCCAGGATGAGGTATGTTTTCACTGGAACCCTGATGTTACTTGTTCCATTTCCCATTTCTTGATAACGACGAAGAATTATGGGATATGGAAACCGAAAGAGTCTGTTATAAATTTCTACTTTGGGTCTAACTATGCCACAATTCATCATGTTATAAGAAACGGGTTCTACATGACACGCTTTGATTGGCTAGGAGCAGGACATAATTATAGATATTACAAAAACATTGTTAGAGAGAGAAGCTAATATAAATGATGTAACTAAGGTAAAGATGTAGCTCTGTATAGTTTAGGTCTAACAAAGAAAGAGTGTGTACTCAGGTAGATATGACAGTAAACTTGAGCTCTGTACATTAAAGAACCCTCAACTGTTGTAAGATTTTGAAAATGATTATTCTAATGCCTTTTACCTCGTTACTTATATGAAAGTTGTTATACTTCATCAATTTTTGAGAAACAAAACCAAGTGGTATATTATTTTTCAGTATGGGTATACAGCTCTTAATTTGGCTCATCCTGATGTGGAAATTTTTTTACGTGCTTCGCCTATCGGCTGACCTTAACACCCAATGTCAGTTATGTTTTCATTGGAACTCCTGATGGTAATTGTCGACTCGGCATCCCTCTATTTGTCAACACGGCATCCCTCTGTTTGTCAACTCGGCATCCCTCTGTTTGTCAACTCGGCATCCCTCTATTTGTCAACTCGACATCCCTCTATTTGTCAACTCGGCATCCCTCTATTTGTCAACTCGGCATCCCTCTATTTGTCAACTCGGCATCCCTCTGTTTGTCAACTCGGCATCCCTCTATTTGTCAACTCGGCATCCCTCTATTTGTCAACTCGGCATCTCTCTATTTGTCAACTCGGCATCCCTCTATTTGTCAACTCGGCATCCCTCTATTTGTCAACTCGGCATCTCTCTATTTGTCAACTCGACCGCCCTCTATTTGTCAACTAGGCATCCCTATATTTTTCTGTAAATTTTATTTGTATCAAGGACACTGATAGCATCAATTTGCACCATTCCAATTTTATATCAGACGCCTGTGGTTCCTGCAATTTAATAATTTGCACCATTCAATTAAATCTATTCGTTTAATGACGTCAATAAACGGGAAGTCCTTAATATGTAGCCTTGTTGTATGTTGTAAAAAGNTTGCCTGGACTGGAGACAAAAGATGTCATCGCTAATGCTATTACCTCCTGGGGTCGTAATGGAACAAAAGGGTATAGTAGCATTTACTATACTCTAGAATTATCTGGACAGGTCTATTGTTACCAATACGTACTTACTATAAGATTAACATCTTGGGTATTGTTAATTGAGTACTTGGTAACAATAGAAAATAGACTATTGTCTCCAGATGTCGGCCCCAATTTGGAGGGAGATTCAAATTATTTTCTTTGTTCAGAGCGACACCTATCGGAGGATATATATAGGGCGAAAACATATTTTGGGGAACTCTCGATTTGGCAAGGAAGGAGGAAGGACATAGGATTCATTCGTTAGCAAGGGTTAGGATCACGTCGTGCTAAGAGGAAGAAGATCTCGGGTGGATTCTTCAGATTTAGTGTAGACCTCTTGTTAGTTTGAATATAGTGTAAATAAAACGTTGTTAATATCTTAGCTGTTATCTCATTTGGAAGTCCGTATCCAGTTTCTTACAAACAACTATACAGTTTGTAAGAATAATCTACTTTGCGGTTTACAAGTAGAACCCGACAACAGCTCCGTTGCACTTATGTGATAATTCAAATTTTGCAGGGGTGGTCATAAAAGTGGAATTAGTGGAATAACAGACGTCTATGACGTCTGCCAATGCCGCTGTCCTGGCAAAATTACCCTCATTGTACACCACATGGCGTTGCCCATTTCCATTAGCCCACATAGAATAGTGCAGAATAGTAGGACGTAAAACTCATTTTATTTGGTGATAGAAAGTAAATTTACTTGTGGTCAGTAGGCTCTAAAGTTATTTGTTCAGTCCCTTGCATAGAAATTTTTTATTAGCATGATCAAAAATATCAATGGATACCTCCAATTGTTTTATCTTTTATATTCAAATAAAATAAAACCATTATTAGAATACTCTATGGTTGGCCTATAATATAATCAAGTTTATTGTTGGTACGAAAATGGTCATATTTGGTACGAAACGACCCGTTCAATCATGCTCGTAATGGACTTTAATAAATTTAAAATTCTAATCATAAAAACGTTGTGAGTTGAATGTAAGGTTTATTTCATGCATAATCTCAACAAATATATTGAAGTCGTTATAATGAAAGAGGTCAAGACTGATTCTGAGTCTGTTGGGCTGTGAATGTGTCTCCTGCGAATGAGAAAAAGAAAGGAGCAATTTCGTAAGAAAATATCAAGCAAAAAAAATAAGATAAAAATTCCATTGCAGTATTTCAGTGGGCTTATTGTCTGAGCAAAGTAATAAGTTTTTGAATTTTTCCCATTATTTTTATGAGAATTGGAATAGCAACCTCCAAATTGTACTGTTACTCTTAGAATGTCTTTGCGTTGATAAAAAATATAAACATAAGCACACATTATGTCTTCAAAATTTGTTTTTACAGAGGACAATTTACAGCCAAATTTTGTGACTTTTTGGGGTTGAAATTTCTAGGAGAGAAATGTGTTTCTTTTCAATGTAAACTTACAAAATATTATATTTTTATCAAAGCAAAGATATTCTAAAACTAACAGTACTATTTTGAGGCTGATATTCCAATTCGCTTGAAAAATATCGAAAAAATTCAAAAACTTTTCAACTTGCATAGACAATAATGTTTCACAATACACGCTTGTACTTCTACTGTCCCACCACATAGTTTTCAGTTTCTATCAATTCATCAGCATAATTTAGCTCAGCGATCTTTTGTTTTCATGCGATTTAGTTTTTTAAACTAGCCTAAGAAAGAAATCAATCGGGAACAGAAAATGATGTTGGATTATGCAGAATGTCGGAATTCTCAGTTGTCGAATATCACAGAGTACACTGTATTTTATATAGATTGAAATATCTCTATAAATGATAGTCTACAGTTGTCAGATATCACAGAGTACACTGTATTTTATATAGATTGAAATATCTCTATAAATGATAGTCTACAGTTGTCAGATATCACAGAGTACACTGTATTTTATATAGATTGAAATATCTCTAAAAATGATAGTGTACAGTTGTCAGATATCACAGAGTACACTGTATTTGATATAGATTGAAATATCTCTATAAATGATAGTCTACAGTTGTCAAATATGACAGAGTACACTGTATTTGATATAGATTGAAATATCTCTATAAATGATAGTCTACAGTTGTCAGATATCACAGAGTACACTGTATTCTATATAGATTGAAATATCTCTATAAATGATAGTCTACAGTTGTCAGATATCACAGAGTACACTGTATTTGATATAGATTGAAATATCTCTATAAATGATAGTCTACAGTTGTCAGATATCACAGAGTACACTGTATTCTATATAGATTGAAATATCTCTATAAATGATAGTCTACAGTTGTCAGATATCACAGAGTACACTGTATTCTATATAGATTGAAATATCTCTAAAAATGATAGTCTACAGTTATCAGATATCACAGAGTACACTGTATTTGATATAGATTGAAATATCTCTATAAATGATAGTCTACAGTTGTCAAATATGACAGAGTACACTGTATTTGATATAGATTGAAATATCTCTATAAATGATAGTCTACAGTTGTCAGATATCACAGAGTACACTGTATTTTATATAGATTGAAATATCTCTAAAAATGATAGTCTACAGTTGTCAGATATCACAGAGTACACTGTATTTTATATAGATTGAAATATCTCTATATATGATAGTCTACAGTTGTCAGATATCACAGAGTACACTGTATTTGATATAGATTGAAATATCTCTATAAATGATAGTCTACAGTTGTCAAATATGACAGAGTACACTGTATTTTATATAGATTGAAATATCTCTATAAATGATAGTCTACAGTTGTCAGATGTCACAGAGTACACTGTATTTTATATAGATTGAAATATCTCTATAAATGATAGTCTACAGTTGTCAGATATCACAGAGTACACTGTATTTGATATAGATTGAAATATGTCTATAAATGATAGTCTACAGTTGTCAGATATCACAGAGTACACTGTATTTTATATAGATTGAAATATCTCTATAAATGATAGTCTACAGTTGTCAGATATCACAGAGTACACTGTATTTTATATAGATTGAAATATCTCTATAAATGATAGTCTATTTTGAATATGAATCCTAGTGTATAATAATGTTTATAGTATAAAAGTATAGTAGGTAAAATATTCAGTACTTAGATAAGATTAAACAATACATGCTCTATAAATAAACTATACTACTTAAATATACACAATAATTTCTATTGGCCAAGTAGCCAGTTTGGAAATCTGATGATGAGTTGTAATTTAACCTATATAAAGTTCTAAACGTTTTAATTACAGGTGTCTTTAAATTCTTGTTGTTTCAGGTAAAAATAGAACAGTTAACATAATGAATTCACAACAAAGCAGACAACAGAATAAAACAATCAATAACATCTACCATAATCAAACACTGCCTTTTATAACAGTTCCAAAACAACCAGTAAAACTTCCAGTCGTAAAACTTCAATGTGATGTCTGTAGTAAATATTTTACTAAACCAAGTTCACTCAAAATTCATAAAAGGAAACATACTGGAGAGAAACCTTTTAAATGTGATGTTTGTAGTAGATCATTTATTCAGAGTAGTCATTTACAGAATCACTTGATGTCTCATTCTAGAGAGAAACCATTCAAATGTGATGTCTGTGGTAAGTCTTATAAACGATCAGGTGCTATGAAGGATCATAGAAAAACTCATGTGACCAATGGAGAGAAGCGATTTCCTTGTGGTGTTTGTGGTAAATTACTCTCAGCTGCTTCTAGACTACAGAGTCACATGTTAATTCATACTGGAGAGAAAGCTTATAGTTGTGATGTCTGTCGTAGATCTTTTACTTGGGCCAGTGATATCAAAGTTCATATGATGATCCACACTGGAGAGAAACCTTATATTTGTGATGTTTGTGGTAAATCTTTTGCCAGGACTAGTGATTTAAAGAAACATATTACTACTCATACTGGGAAAGGGAAGGCAGTTCATAATTGTGATGTTTGTAGTGAATCTTTTACAAATCTTATTAGATTAAAAGAACATTCAAAATATCATTCAGATAAAAACTTCTACCAATGTGAATTATGTCTTAAACTTTTCTCATGGACGAGTGAACTTAGTAAACACATGAGAACACATACTGGACAGAAACCATATAAATGTGATGTTTGTAGAAAGACTTTTGCACAATCTGGTAACTTTAATAGACATATACAAATACATACTGGAGAAAAACCTTTTATATGTGATGTTTGTAGTAGACAATTTTCTCAGTTAAGAAATTTAAAGAGACATTTGAACATTCATCATAGTTTTTTAAAGACTATTAAGGATGATGTTTGTGAAAAATCTTTTAACTTAACTTCTCTGATACATCTTCATACTGTTACCCATTCTAAACAGAGAGTTTATGGTTGTGGTGTCTGTGGTAAATCTTTTACTCATTCCAAACTTCTTAAAGATCATATAGATTTACATACAACAATTGATAAAGCCTTTACATGTGATGTTTGTAGTAAATCATTTAAGAATTTACAAGTTTTAAAGAAACATATAAAGACTCACAATCCTACCAATATATTTCAATGTAGTATATGTGAGAAGGTCTGTTACTGTGTCAGTGAACTGGATAAACACATGAGAACTCATACTGGAGAGAAACCTTTTAAATGTGATGTTTGTAGTAAATATTTCTCACAAAGTAGTAATCTAAATAAACATATGAGGTTACATAGTGGAGAGAAACCCTTTAATTGTGGTGTTTGTAGTAAATCATTCTCTGAATCCAGTCATCTAAAAATCCATATGCAGATACATGTTACTTGACAGCCAGACTCCATCTTAGTGAATTGAAGCATTTGGTCGACCAGGATTGTTGATTAGGCTGTATTTACCAGTCATGTCTGACTAGAGTTTTAGACTGTTGATTTGGCTGTATTTACCAGTCATGTCTGACTAGAGCTCTAGACTGTTGATTTAACTGTATTTACCAGTCATGTCTGACTAGAGCTCTAGACTGTTGATTTGACTGTGTTTACCAGTCATGTCTGACTAGAGCTCTAGACTGTTGATTTGACTGTATTTACCAGTCATGTCTGACTAGAGCTCTAGACTGTTGATTTGGCTGTATTTACCAGTCATGTCTGACTAGAGCTCTAGACTGTTGATTTGACTGTATTTACCAGTCATGTCTGACTAGAGCTCTAGACTGTTGATTTGGCTGTATTTACCAGTCAAGGTTGACTAGAGCTCTAGACTGTTGATTTGGCTGTATTTACCAGTCATGTTTTACTAGAGCTCTAGACTGTTGATTTGGCTGTATTTACCAGTCTTGTTTGACTAGAGCTCTAGACTGCTGATTTGGCTGTATTTACCAGTCATGTTTGACTAGAGCTTTAGACTGTTGATTTGGCTGTATTTACCAGTCTTGTTTGACTAGAGCTCTTGACTGCTGATTTGGCTGTATTTACCAGTCATGTTTGACTAGAGCTCTAGACTGCTGATTTGGCTGTATTTACCAGTCTTGTTTGACTAGAGCTTTAGACTGTTGATTTGGCTGTATTTACCAGTCATGTTTGACTAGAGCTCTAGACTGTTGATTTGGCTGTATTTTCCTATCTGAATGAAGCTGTGGGTGTTATATCTTATTGGAGCATTGTAATAAACTAGCTTATATAAGTATATATATAGATTTATTTGTTGAAAAGATTTCATATCATTATTAAGAAATACAAGCATCATTTTTTATACAAATAAAAACCGAACTATAATGTCATATATATTCCAACCAAAATTTCTTTAAACAAAAAGAGACGAAAGGAAATTTTGATTTGACGAAAATTGTAATTACCAGCTACTACTAGAGCGATCTGAATCCAGCTTTACAGATAGATGTCGAGTTGTATGAAAATAAAATATTAAATAAATAGTAATAATAAAAGTTGTAAATTATTTAACAAGTTGGCATCTGGAAGATTGGACCAACTTTAGGATCCATGGGGAAACCTTTCCTCATTCCCATACACAGCTGAGAATCTAATTTCAGGGAATTCTCCTTCACCCCAATATCATTTTCTAAAACAGCTTTAGTTTTCATCAACCTAGCTAAACTTAATTCAGATTCTCTGAGACTCTTCTTTAAAATAGCGATAGATTCTCTGATATCATTAACTTCATGTTTTAATCTGAAACAGATAATACAGTTTGGTATGAGAGACAGATAGAGAGATAGCAGTTTGGTATGGGAGAAAGATAGAGAGAGAGACGGCGGTTTGGTATGAGAGACAGATAGAGAGAGAGATAGCGGTTTGATATGAGAGACAGATAAAGAGATAGTGGTTTGGTATGAGAGACAGATAGAGAGAGAGATAGCGGTTTGGTATGAGAGACAGATAGAGAGAGAGATAGTGGTTTTGTATGAGAGACAGAGAGATAGTGGTTTGGTATGAGAGACAGATAGAGAGATAGTGGTTTGGTATGAGAGACAGATAGAGAGAGAGATAGCGGTTTGGTATGAGAGACAGATAGAGAAAGAGAGATAGCGGTTTGGTATGAGAGACAGATAGAGAAAGAGAGATAGCGGTTTGGTATGAGAGACAGATAGAGAGAGAGATAACGGTTTGGTATGAGAGACAGATAGAGAGATAACGGTTTGGTATGAGAGACAGATAGAGAGAGAGATAGTGGTTTGGTATGAGAGACAGATAGAGAGAGGGATAGCAGTTTGGTATGAGAGACAGATAAAGAGATAGTGGTTTGGTATGAGAGACAGATAAAGAAGAGACAGCGGTTTGGTATGAGAGACAGATAAAGAGAGGGATAGCGGTTTGATATGAGAGACAGATAAAGAGAGAGACAGATAAAGAGAGAGATAGTGGTTTGGTATGAGAGACAGATAGAGAGAGGGATAGCAGTTTGGTATGAGAGACAGAGAGAGAGATAGCGGTTTGATATGAGAGACAGATAAAGAGAGAGACAGATAAAGAGAGAGACAGATAAAGAGAGAGATAGCGGTTTGGTATGAGAGACAGATAAAGAGAGAGACAGATAAAGAGAGATACAGATAAAGAGAGAGACAGATAAAAAGATAGATAGCGGTTTGATATGAGAGACAGATAGAGAGAGAGACAGATAAAGAGAGAGACAGATAAAGAGAGAGATAGCGGTTTGATATGAGAGACAGATAAAGAGAGAGACAGATAAAGAGAGAGATAGTGGTTTGGTATGAGAGACAGAGAGAGAGATAGCGGTTTGATATGAGAGACAGATAAAGAGAGAGACAGATAAAGAGAGAGATAGTGGTTTGGTATGAGAGACAGAGAGAGAGATAGCGGTTTGATATGAGAGACAGATAAAGAGAGAGACAGATAAAGAGAGAGATAGTGGTTTGGTATGAGAGACAGATAAAGCGAGAGATAGTGGTTTGGTATGAGAGACAGAGAGAGAGATGGCGGTTTGATATGAGAGACAGATAAAGAGAGAGACAGATAAAGAGAGAGACAGATAAAGAGAGAGACAGATAAAGAGAGAGATAGCGGTTTGGTATGAGAGACAGATAGAGAGAGATAGCGGTTTGGTATGAGAGACAGGTAGAGAGAGCGATAACGGTTTGATATGAGAGACAGGTAGAGAGAGCGATAACGGTTTGATATGAGAGACAGATAAAGAGAGAGACTTATAAACCAAGATACCGTGTAATTGTGAATATAATACGCACCATTTCTTACACTAATAGTCTTTCTTACTATCGAGGAAACCTTACTGTTCTCTTACGGTTTACACAGTGCTCCTCTTATCATTCATACAGGTTTCTAAAGTATCTGGTCCATTGTAAATCATATAAATAGATCCAGATATTTCATGCTAAAGATTTTATGCTTTGTTCTCCTGTCAATTTTCTCTCACTGCTCACTGCAAGGTATATCAAGAATCGTCAACTTACGTTTTCATGACAGGATCGTGGCAGACTTCAACATGGATTCTTCTTGTCCTTTCATCAAGTCGAGTTTGAGCCACTTTCATTGGATTTTCTTTATCTTGAATGGCTTTTCTTAACAGATGGATGTTTCTTTCCATGTCGAAGATTTCTTGCATCGTCTGAAATATTTAAAGATATGAATTAGATTGGTTGGTAGTTGACATCAAACTAAACACCAATTGAATGTTTTATGTACTTTTTTGTATCATATTTGTGGTAGTAATATTTGTGCGTCATGAATTGTCCTAAACTCAATTAACGGAAGTTCTTCCAAATCTGGGGTTTCTGTTAACTTACTCTTTGTAGATGAGCTTGAAGTTTATTTCTAGCGTCTGAAGTATCATGGATTCTCATATTAAAATTATTATTAACAGCGTTAAAGATACTCCACATTTCATTGGCACAGGATCTCATACAGCTGTCAATTTCACCTCGGAGTTTTTCTGAAGCTGCTCGTTCTTTCTGAGATCTGATGACATTCTCGTGAGTATATCTCGCCCACGATTCAGGGATGGTGATTCTGAAAAATAAAGCAAAGACTGATTCCAGCTGGCTGCGGTCAATGGGGGAGGGGGATCAGGGACTACAAGCGGTCCCCAGAAGCCAACGGCTAGTAAACTCTATACTATTAGTATCCGATTGTACAAGTCTTATGAATGTAGAATCTGGTATTTGAAAACTAAGAAACTTAAGTTCACTTACGTATTATCAACGTTTTCAATACTGGGGAAATATCCGATACCAGCTGAAGAATTTCTTAATTGTTGCATTCTGTCATCAAGATGTTGAGCGTGGTGTTTATCTTTACAGTCGACTTCTAGAGCATGTTGGGCTGCTCGGTTTACTCTGGAAACAGAACGAACATTTAACGGTTTATTTTTACAGTGTGTATACTGATGAAGTACAATGAAAACAGAACGAACATTTAACGGTTTATTTTAACAGTGTGTATACTGATGAAGTACAATGAAAACAGAACGAACATTTAACGGTTTATTTTTACAGTGTGTATACTGATGAAGTACTATGAAAACAGAAGGAACATTTAACGGTTTATTATAACAGTGTGTATACTGATGAAGTACAATGAAAACAGAAGGAATATTTATTATAAGCTCATTTAATGCTGTATACTTACTTGAGTTGAGCCATGGCTTTATCTAAAACACGTTTCATCTTTCCTTGACAATGTTTAATCAACTGTACCTCCTGTTAGGTAAAATACAGAACAGAAACTTTTAAAACTCATTGTAAGATATTGTTACTCGCGGATACCAGTTATATTCGCCAATGAAACTCATTTTAGAAACGAAGGTTGTATGCTTGCCTGAAAGTTCCGATAGAGTTATCAAACACAGTTTCCATCGCAAAGCAGATACGAATTTGTGGAACCGTTTCTAAGAAAGACGGCCACTCTTCCTAATGCCTGTGCCAGTGGTTCCGAGAGTCGATCTGGTGTCGGATTTCACCCCCTGATGTCACGACCGATGTGTTTGAATGATAAATATTGAATTACCTTAATAAGAGATTTCTCCACATCATCATTAACCAAATCAATACCTCGTCGTTTTTCACGATGCATCAAACATTCTTCAGCTACATGTAATGGGTTGGCAGTATCACCTAATGCTTTCTCTAAAACTCGACGATATTCTTTTAGATTTTCTATTTCAGTCGCCATTTGGTTGATTTCAGTGTTTAATTCACTCTTCCAGAAGGCGATATCAGTCACTCGTTCACCTGAAAATGGCAAAATGATATCAGTATAGCTTCGTTCCTCATTGGAACTTGCGGCACACATTCCCAGGGCAGACAGACACTCTCCCTGGTGCCTGTGCCAGTGCTTCAGGTTCGGTGTCGGCTTTCACTTCCTGATAACAATCCATAAATCTTAATAATAAATGGAGATTTCTACAAGGAGTCAAGATGAATTTAAAATATCTTGACGAAGTAGCTAGTCTAGCCGTCGTAAACTCCAAACGACAGATCTATGAATAACCTACCTAATCGTTTGGTGACTTCATTCTGCCTGTTTCTAGTTCTAGAATCAGTCTCCTGAATGGCTCTCCAGGCGTCAGCTCTCAATCGTTCTCCATACGATCTTTCTTTAGACGAGAGATTAAAGTGAGAATTGTTAGACTGGCCCCAATCACCAACTGAATATCTGTTATACACAGATTTACTGAAATAAAAAGAAGATTGGGGTTAAAATTTGATTAAGAATACGTTGGCTCCCATTTGATGTTTAAAAAGTTAAAACCAACAAGAGCGGTAGTTTGTGATAACACAGTATATTAAGCGAAAACAGCCTCCATATTCAAGAGTTGTAGAAGCGTCTTGCGATATAATGCAATATAAGAGTGAACTTACAGGGACAGTGGGGGGGGGGGGGGGTGATTTTAGTCTTGAATGTATTCAAATAGTCTTCAGAAGTATTGTGATCCTATTACAAGGCTCAATTGTAGAAATGATAAATCGTTAATTAATTAATCTGATTAATTAATGAAACTGTAATCCAATCTTACTTACTTGGCAGGATTGTAATAAGCTTTAGCATGGCCCATGTCCAGAGATCTTCCAAGATGGCGACTTGAAGTCTTGTCGCTGACGTAAGGAAGAACCTTGGACATCATAGGACTCATTGGAGTTCTTGGTGTTCGAGCGATGTCGGAGAATGCCATTTCTAAAAATAGACAAGAGTGGAAACATTTAAAGAGATCATTGAGAAAGAGAGACCGTAATGGAAGTGACGGATGTCGCGAAATTCAATCATGCTTATTCTTTTCGAAACACTCGATGGTAGTCTTCTTCTCGTTTGAGGAGTTCACTACTATATTATGTTGATTTTATTATTCTTCGGACGAGATTTTAGGTTACTGGAACTGTATTGCTTGTACAGATTCCGTATCCAATCAGATATCTCAGCTCTTTCGAAGTATGCAGGAAAATGCTATATAAATAAAAATGAAATGAAATGAATGGAGTTTTACGTCCTACTTTTCTGCACCTAATATGTAAATGAAGACGGTATATGAATGAAAGGTGACGTCAGTGGTTATTGGTTTCAGAGTAGTAGGATAATTTGAAAGAGTAAATTTTTAGACTTACTAGTATAGAACTGAAGTAATTCCTTCTGATACAAAACAAGTTAAAAACTGTCAAATTTTCTCTCTTCTAGTTGGTTAGTTGACTGAATGAAGACCAAATCCTCAACTGATTTTTACAACTTATTTTTCTTATTTATACTCTCTAGTCTGAGATTTCATTCCCTTAGTTTCCAAAACCTTGACTACCTAGTTCCTCTCAATCATAAAGACGCTGGAGGTTTAAATCTAATAATTTGGAACGGAAAATTACAACGGTGGTCATATTTTAACCCATAGCGTCCTGTATATCAAAAAGGTATATGTATCATATTTATCATAATCAAATCTATAATCCATATAAATAATCCAGTTATATTAACTCGGGGATAATTACATAACGGTGTGTATCTTGTATTGGATTAATTATGATTTCCAGACAATTGACGTCAATTGGTTCATTAAAGTAGCCCCCCCCCCCCTCTCACACCTTCCTCTATGCTCTCACCCTTCCATTCAAACAAGAAATGTCCCATCGTGCCTCTGTCATTGTTTGTTCAACCAAAGGCATAGCAACTATTCTATACCTTTTGGAATCGCTTAGCCAGGGATGCAGTCGAAGTACAGTCAAGCTTGTATAATGCAAGTAGTCAGGGGAATTCTTAAAATTGTCCGCTTACCGAACTTGGTTGCTTAGTGAAGGGTCAGCCTGTACAGTCATATTTTAAAGCATACTTGGTATTCTAATTTCAGACAAAGTTAATAAGTTATCCATACATTGAATCATGTTATTATCATTATAAGAATGTGTTACATTGGTCTCAACTTAACATACAGAGCGATCTCTCTGGCGATCAGATCCAATTAAAACAATAGAGCAACTGGTGACAGGATGTAAGTGCTCCATCTTCACATTGTCAAGATATTGTGAATTCAGTAGCCAGCTCCCTTGTAGAAGTTTGTGTAAGTTTGTAAATGCGGCGATTTGATTAGTTCGTACACCAGCGAATATAGCCAATCAGAGCTAATATAATAAGTTATAATGTTTACACTCCGTCTATCGAGAGCTATGATTGGTTGTATTCGCTGGTGTACAATCAAATCAAATCGCTGCGTTTCAAATACTTCAAAATAAACACATTATATCGGTAAGGTGATAGTTCATAAACCATCATATGCGATAACAAAATATTTATTATTTTCACTGTTAAAGTAGCTTAGTGCTCAAATGATTTGGCCTAAAACGCTATGTGAAAGCAACCTTGTAACTATCGCAGCTAACTCCTATCGCAGACTTAACATGGCCTCTCTAAAATTGTTTTTCGCTTAGGCCCAAAGATTATAAAACGTGTTGACATATTGAGTTATCCTTAGCCCAATGCTTCTGTACGTTGAATGTGAAAACTCAACGAGCTTCCAAGAAAAGCTCAACAAAAATTGCAACGTCATTTTTGTATGGTTTGACGTCAAGGCGATAATCTAACGTCAGAAATTTTTCAATGGCGGCGTAGGTTCCTTCAGAAGATTTTTTCAGTTTTTTGACCGAATTTTCGCGATGTATCGTGCGTATCAACCGATCACTCCGGCCAACAATCTTTACCTTAAACATAATTGGGATAAAAATGTGTACAGATATCACAGAAGAAAAGTCCAGGCAGGTTAGTTTGTGGACGTTTCATTTCATTTTTCCAAATGAAAAAGAGGTTTAGATCTACGTTACGTACTACTTTTCTGCAACCGTATGCATAAGCTTATACGACATATCACTGAGTTAAATTGATATCTTGAAAACTAGGCCCTGATAGGGTTATGCAGAAAGGAAAATTTGACAGGATTCAGTTGATTTCCAATTTTCGTGACATCGATTGTTTAGGCTAGTTGAACACGAGTTGAACACAAACGAAAATACCAAAAGTAATTTCTATCTCTCTATGTTTCAGCCAAAGCCGTGATCGACAACCACCCACCAAAAACTTATATGCATCTTCACATCAAACCTAAAAAATTACAAGTGAGAAAATTTGATTTTATTTCTATAATAGTGGCATATCATAAGCGTATGTGGTCAGTCAACCCAGCTGTAAATGGGTACAGATAATCCAATGAAGATCAATGCCAAGAGGTTTGACCAAGGACCAGCTGGAAGAAAAGATCTTCGTTAATCTTAGTTGTTATCCTTGTAAATAGGAATTAATTCTTTCTCGGTTAGATCAGATCAGACAAACCTTTAGTGGATAATTGTTAATTTTCTTCTCTGCCATCATAGAGCCTAATGATGTAAACAGAGATATTTGGTAAACTTTGCCGTCCAAATACAGCATACATTTATACTGCTCATTTGTTTATATTTTATTTCTGACAAGGTGGTAACCCATTCTGAACTATTGTGATTTCTGTTGTACAGTCTGCCTCGTGTATCTAAGGGCCACTGCAAGAGGCTTGATGCTTGCTGCAATACCAATAGGCTCCGTAAGTCTCGTCTGACGTCAATTTCCGTTTTACGGCGATGTACCTGAAGTGACTTTTCTCGAGAAATCCCATGTTTCACGTGATAACACTTATGGAGCCTATTAAACACGACTATTTCCTAGTATTAACATAACTTGCTTCGTGTTTTCTAGATGGAGGGGGAAAGATTAGCGATAGTAGAAAAAGATAACCGTATATTACTAGAGAAGATGGCGTATATTATGAGAACTGGTGGTCGAGTTGATAATGTTAAGAAAGATTATTGCAAAAAAAGGTAAGATAAATCTTTTGGTTTGGTTACAGATTATAAAAAGCATTATGTTCGTTTATATAACAACGTAGACCGAAACACCTGTCTCTATTCCAGTCACTGATGGATATTTTGGTGCAGAGTCAAACGAAAAATACCCTGTTAAAATAGCTTGAATAGAGGCAGATGTTTCGGACTAATAGCAACGGTGTAATACGTATATCACATGTAACATAGTCACTGTAGGAAGTATTCGTATATTGATGATTATTCTGTTTATAGGTGGAGACACTACGTCTCAATCATGTTCATTTAGCAACGGTGTACGACATTTATCACATATAATTTACGTAACGTGTACGTCTTAGACATTGAGAATACCATGTTGCGAAAGCAACGGTTAGATGTGATAAACGTCGTACACCATCAATAATAACTTTATTGGGATATAAATTAAGTCAGGTCTGTTTACAATTTAGCCCTTTAACAAACAACAAACAAATAATGTAAAATGCTAATGGAACATGTAAAAGTTTCGGCTTGTTTCTGAAACCATGGTTATCTATGTAAATTTATTGTTAATCATTAATAAATATTGTTTCAAAAAATAATCTTGTAAAAAAGGGCCTTATGATCCCTCAAAATAGGACACAATTTCACAAAAAGGGTTAATGTCTGAATCTGGGTTTTTCTTTTCTACTTTCAGTTTAAACAAAACTAAACGCTATCGTGAGTTACTAAGAATAACCTACGAGAATCTAGCTATATTAAAACGTATCAACGCCAGGGAACCACATTATGATCATAACAGATGGGCTGTCGAATGGCAGGTACGTGCAGTCCATTTTTTGAAAGTTTTTGAGTTTTTGGGCAACAGATACATTTTAGAATGGTTTTGTCTTGATAGACTCGTTAATAGTTCAGCGTGGTATCGACAACAAAAGTGTTTCCAAATTTGGTTTTTATGTTGGCGAAACTTCTGAAAACTACCTAAAATGAATCGGAGCAGCTCACATAACAAGCATATCACCTTCGAGTAACGGGTAGGGTTAGATTTGTCAGGCTATGGTACTAGTAATAAACATTTCTTGAAGACCTTCGATCATCCAAACTAATGAAAAGTTCTCTTTGTGAACCATTAGAATCACTAAGAAATCCTCTGTTATTTTATCTGTAAATAATATAATTTTTATTTCAGTATAATCGAATATATTACCGAAATATTTCTAAATATCCTGGTAAACTCAATCATTCATTCCGACCAGAGATAGGGTTTACTATGGACAGCAATCTCAAATGTAAGGTAGGTAATGGAATTTGGTAATCGGTAATTTTGTAATTTGTCCTTTAGCAATTAGGTACTTTGCATCTTGGTACTTTGGTACTTTGGTACTTGGGTACTTGGGTACTTGGGACTTTGCTACTTGGCAGCTTGTTACTTGTTACCTTGGGACTCTGGTACTTGTTCCCTTCGTAATTTAGAACTTTGGTACTGGATCCTTTAGTATTTTGGTACCATGGTACGGTACTTTGGTACCTGGGTACTTTGGCAGCTTGGTACTTTGGTTATTTGGGGTACTTTGGTACTTTGGTTATTTGGGGTACTTTGGTACTTGGTATTTTGGTAATTTGTACTTTGGTATTTGGTACCTTGGTTCATTGGTGATCAAGAGCTGTCTGCCATCTAGAAAAGGGATTATCGCTACTTTAATTGATCTTTTCATTGAAACAAAAGAAAGATTTTACGTTCTCTAAACACGAGCGAAAATAAGTTCTATTCGCGATAACACCTTATAAATCATTTTAATACACTATCACGTCTATTACGTGAAAATATGATTTTTTTTAGATGTTGTCCGAAACCTCACACAGTTCGTATCTTGAGTCGCAACTACCAAAAGAAGCAAAGAAACTCACAGATAGATCTCCAGAGCGAAGTCCGAAAAAGTCTGAAAAAGCGCCTTAGAAAACTGAGAAACCTCCGAAAGAAGAGAGTCAACCCGTCAAAGAGGAGATAACTTCTGATGATAAAAATGAAAATAGCGATGAGAAACCGGAAGAAGAGAAACTTTGAACGGCAATAAAACTTTTATTGAAAATTTTATAAATCAATGAAGAAGGTTTTCATAAATAATAAAAACTGAATTAAAAAAAATTCGTACAATCAAGACAATTCCGCTAATCAAAATCTCGTCTAAAGTATGGTAAAATCGAGAGTAAAAGTAGTATAGTAGTGGTCTCCTCTAAAGAGAAGTACCATCAGGAATTTCAAAAAAAGTAAGCATGGTCTGCTTCGAGCGCGACACCCGCCACTACTATATAGGTCAACTTGAGATACAACCTGTTTCACAAAAACTTAATTTAGAATGATTCTAGTATTCTAGTAATCCGATTGGCCAAAAGCTAAAATCAATTTTAATACCAGCTTTTAAAGCCAATCAGATTAGTTAATTTCTTAAAATCTTGTCTGTTATTTAGTAAAAAGTTTGTGAAACAGGCCCCAGATGACTAGATTAGATAATTAACTAACTATTAACCATGTGTAGATATTACCTGTTTTAAACTTATACTTTGGAAAATGCCAAGTCTTATCTAAGAGTGTTTTTTTCACATTAAAGGGAAAGGTTCGCAATTTTCGATGGTTGACTGACCCCCACTCATCTAATTGAGCCAATGTTTTTGGAAAAGTCCCTTGGTTGTGACAGAGTCATTGTAATTTCAGAAATAACATTTTTCTCTCTCAAATACATAAAGTTCTGTAGCTGGTCTCTCTAGTGTGACTGGGTATTATCACTTTTGAGTGAAACTTCATGCTCCATGTCAATTTGCCATTTCTTTTGCAAAATCCACCTAGATAATATTCTCTATTTGGTATATTTATTAACGTAGATTTACAAACTGTATAATAAATAAGTATATTTATGGTTTATGCTGCTATTCCAGAGAATCGGTACACTGAGACTTCATTTCAATATTCAGTCGATGTTCACGCGCTCTTTCCCGCAATTCTCCTATACTACTCTTACGCCTGGTGCTTGGTTGAATCGACGGTTCGTTGGATTCCTCTCGGCCGCAGGGTCGGGGATATAAATTAAAGGGGTAAAATAGGGGGTGGAGATTTATGTAAGGCGAATATAAGGCTAAGGAAGGAGCGAGAACTCTTGGAGGTGATACATCATGAGACGAACTCTGTAATTCTGTTTCACAGAATCTTCCTCTTTTAACCGGACTCTGAAAGAAAAGAGAGAATAGTACTTCAGGTAGTTCCTCGGTGAAAGGAGTTGAAAACCTAGACTGACTTCGAAAGGATTGGTCGGGGCATCAGATTTATTCATACCTTGAGGAGAGTTCGAACCTACAGCACCTAATCACCTAGCAGACAATTTCGTTACTGATCATCATATATTACTGTCAAGTACTCATTGTAGGGCGTGACCCGGAAGTGAATGGGGTGGGTTCGTTAATGTTAATATAAGAACTAATTGCTATCGATAATGTTAAAGATTCCGAAAATAACATCTCACAAATACTCACTTCAGAAGGATGTACCTTGACCACTGTTTTCGGCGCAGGGACGAAATTCAAAGCTTGTATTTCATGAAGTCCTCCAAAATTACCAAGACGTTCATATTTCCGCCATTTTGCTCTTCGGTTTTGAAACCAGATCTATAAAAGAGAAAGAGTATCTGTAACCTACGTTACTCACAAAACCAAAACAGCAACTAATAATTAGTACAGAAAACAGGCAACTAAAGATGGGTTCCTTTATTTGTGAAAATGAAAATGCTAATACTTATATGAATAGAAAGTAGAGATGTTCTAATGACTTGGAAAAATACCAGTTAGTCTCACATGTCCATAATTAATTCATAATTAGCTAAATTAGAAGAGAATTACCAGCAGAATTCCAATGAGTGACCGATCAAGAAAGGTCAAAAAGTCTTTTTTTTTTGTTTATCCAGAATGAACATACATGGATATTTATGATTGGTTAAAACTCTTAATTATACATAATGAACATAATGATATGATTAAGAATACATGATAATTCATAAGGAACACCAATTAATCAAATTGTTTGCTTAAATTTGACACTAAAAAATAAGGAAACCCATCTTTATAGGAAGAAACAACCATTTTATTACAACTGTCTATCAGCTGGTCCTTGGATTACATTATGTCACAGTGGCACCAGGTGTTAACAATTTGAGCGTAGTTATAGTACTTAATCATTACACTTGAAGATTTACATTATTAAATTATTACAAACTACATCCAATAAACACTGATCAATTATACAATTCAAAAAGTAGTTCGGTTTTACCTGGACTCTTTCTTCACTCAATCCTGTTTTAATACTTAATTCATCTCGCGTATTAACATCCGGGTAGTGAGTGATAAGAAATACGTTCTCCAGGTCGTGAAGCTGTTCTGTTGTAAAAGTAGTTCGGAATCTTCGTTGTTTTTTCGGTGAACAGTCATCTCCTAGAAGGAATGATACAAAATATTATCAATTAGTCATCCCAGCGTCTTAACGATGTAAGCTTTTCACTCAAAGCTAATTTCATGTAAGTCATGTAACAATGTTCAATGCCCTTATAAACATATCGTATTCAACCATCGAACAGCAGTTTCATGTGGACAGAAACATTTCGCTAGTACATTTCGTCAGTACAAACATTTCGTCAGTACAAACATTTCGCTAGTACAAACATTTCGCTAGTACAAACATTTCGCTAGTACATTTCGTCAGTACAAACATTTCGTCAGTACAAACATTTCGTCAGTACAAACATTTCGCTAAGTAGACAAACATTTCGCTAGTACATTTCGTTAGTACAAACAATTCGCTAGTACATTTCGTTAGTACAAACATTTCACTGAAAAAGTATTTTGAACTTGAAGCAATTGAAAGTGTCTCTGTATAAGATTTATTATATTGACTAATATCATTATATAGTTCTTTATTAATATAATAATATTTTACTTCAAAGTTAAAACCTTCAACTTTATCAGACATTTAACCTCGTAAATTATTTTTTAAACTGACTTTAATCGAACTGACGACCTTTTGTTGTTTCTATGATTGAAGATTCGAGGGTTTGAAACTTAAAGGGATTGTAAAGAGGTTTTCTAAATTCTTTATGTGTATTGGGGACACTGAGAGCATCAATTTACACCATTCTAATTTTCAATCAGACGTCTGTGGTTCAAATTAATGCTATCAGTGTCCAGATACACATAAAATTTTTAGAAAACTTCTTTACAATCTATTTAAGCCGGAGACGAAACAAGGATGTGGTAAATTTGCCGATTAGATTAGGACTGTTCACTAACCTAAAACTTTGACATAAACTTCATCTGATTAGGCCTTTATAATCACTGGTTCCATACAACGTTTCAACGTGTTTCTATTGTCGTATATGATATAAAGTATCAGGTGTTATAGAAGATACTCTCTTATAGAAGCACCGACCAAGGTCACATACTTCTTTTACATCAATTTGAGTAATAAAGATTAAATTGAAGTGATAAACTATATGTATCAGATTACGTGAAGAGTTGACATGAGTTTGCCCAGATGGTAAATTAATTTCACCAAATTGCTCTTGTCACCTTCACAACAGTACGTCATTTCCGGTGGGGAATACAGCAGACGAGATAAGGTATATTTTAAGTCACCTGAATCAACATATTATCTCATTATATCTCCATATTCAATAATACGTTAGAGAGATTGTAAAGAGGTTTCAACAAAATAAAAAATTCTATTAGGGACACTGATAGCATCAATTTACACCATTCTAATTTTCAACCAGACGTCAGTGTTTCATGCGATTCCACTAAAACTAGGTGTTTGATGAAAGGCCGTGGGCCGTTACAATTCCTTTAATAACAACTTGATATAGAACTAGACATGCTCAAAGCTTTACCCAGGTCTCGAGAAGGGGAGGGGCTTAAATAAATGTCAATCCGGACTTACATTGTCAGGCTGCAGATTGGAGTATCTCTGAATGTGGGATTTCAATTTACAAAATAGATTTATACAACTTGGACCTTACGTAAGAGTTGGATATATGAAATTCTAATGAAAAATACCCAATGCCATTCCCAAATATGTACAACTGATTTTTTAATCCAAACGAAAATGATGCTCTTACAATCTACTTTATATTTCATTTAGCGTTATTTCTATTGCTGTTGTAACGTTGAAGATCCTCGACAGTTGGAAATAGATAGAAAAAAGTAATGCTTAAAAAAACCTCGTAGAATACTGCATGGCGTTAGTCCAATTAGATACAGAAGAGTAGGATTAAAAACTCCATTCATTTCATTTCTATTGCTGCTAAAAATTAATTTTTTGTTATTTGATTAAAATTTACCTGTCTCTGATATCTGGTTGTCAGGTTTACTAGCACTGTCAGAATGGTTTAATTTACTGTGGTCAGAGTCTGTAATAAATTCAGGTTGATCTCGGGGTTCAGACGCACCAGAGCCTAATATACTGTCTATAGAATGGGTAACTCGACCCTCACAATGTGACCCGGATTTCGGAACACTTAAATCCATTTTTCACAAGTTTCTTTTCAATTCGGTTATATCTCAAATTCATAAAAATATTTTGAATAATTATTCGTTAAAAATTCTCTTAATTCTTAAAAAGACATTTTCCGATATCGATGAAGAAAAAACCAAAACTTTGTCCACATTTATCTCTTAATGATGATTCCCATTAGATGTGTTTAAAGTTATTTTGTCTCCAGTCAATGATAATAATCTTTGTAAGATAAATCATAATAATATTCATCACTGATTTTTCTGCTCTCAAAATCTGGATTTCGTAATGAATTTTGACACAAATTAAAAAATATATATATTAAATATATCTATTCTTTAAAGCACACTTTTCCCGAAATTTGTCACTTTTCTGTCCACACTTTTCTGTTGTTTCCAATTCAGTTTGTTTGTGATAGATTATCTTAAATCTTGTATTTGTTCTGAATTATTTTCCACCGTTGTCACGATAAACAATTCCCATCACAATAACTCCAAATATTCAGTCCCTTTCAATAAAGCATGTTTTAAAACATTCAACTTAACAAAATATAATTTTTTAAATAATTTTCTCAGTTTTTTAAGATGGTCACATTTTCCTCAAGAGAACAGATCAAAATAAAACTTCCAGAGTTTTAATCTTTTATGAGAAACTGAACGACATTCTAAACACACCTGGGCAAAATAACAAGACTTTTGATTTCGTTCCTAATTTCTCATTAATAAGTGAAATTGAAAGACAAAAGAAAGATATTAAATTATAATTGATAAGAATTGAATAATCGGTATCTGATTGGCTGTCAGCTGTGAGTTATTGATGATATATACCACCTGTTAACCAATCAAATCACGGTATTATTGATAAAGCACGGAGTATATTGGTTTTTATCGAGATATTAATATCTAGCTTATTACTTACTCTTCAAATATTCTCATAATCGAAATCTCACGATTGCCTCTCGTAAAATTTCAATAAATTGTCATTAACTATAGTAGTATACAGGGGTTTATAGTCTATACTTGGTCGCCGTTAGAAGCCTGTCTCTGTCTCAAAAATACTAGGACGTAAAACTCCATTCTTCATTAAGGCAATATGATATAGACTATTTTAACAGTGGTATTACTATATCACTCTACAATTGATGTATTGAGCACTATTTTAACAGTGATATTTCTATATCGCTCTATAATTGATATATTGAGCACTATTTTAACAGTAGTATTTCTATATCGCTCTACATTTGATGTATTGAACACTATTTTAACAGTGGTATTTCTATATCACTCTACAATTGATGTATTGAACACTATTTTAACAGTGGTTTTACTATATCACTCTACAATTGATGTATTGAGCACTATTTTAACAGTGGTATTTCTATATCACTCTACAATTGATGTATTGAACACTATTTTAACAGTGGTATTTCTATATCACTCTACAATTGATGTATCGTTGAAATTAATAAATATTCTAGAAGTATCATTATATTCCTGATGACGATGTGAGAACCAAATCAAAACGTTGAAAGTAATAAAGTTTCTAGAAGTATCTGTCCCTAATAATTGTCTTATTTATGTATAAGTTGAGTTTCTAATATTCCATAGAAGGATTCGTAGTAATAATAACTGGTGTAGATATGAAATTATCATCGAACCTGCAATTAATCTAATTAACTTTCTGGTTTGATCCTGATCTAATTAGCTTTGATTAATTAATTAACAAATTATCCCGTCTAATCAAAGACAGGTGATTTTCTCTTTTCTTTCAACTCGCACCTGGGGTCATGAGTCCATGCCTACATCCCTCAGGCATGTGAAACGTCAATTTTGAAGGGAAAATTAGGCTCTCTTAATGCTCCAAATTAATCTCAGGCCGTCTTCTGGGGATCTATGCCAAATTTACAATTCGAATCACAATACCTTAAGAAAAAGTTATAAAAATTTGAAACTAAAAAACAATGGGAATAGGATCAGCAGACGGATATTAGGATTGGAAGCCAATAAAAGACGAGTTGAATTAAACCATTAAACAGGTGTGATATAAAGGGTTAATATTATCAGAGAGGGTTAATATTATCAGTATTAAGCGTGATTAAGAGTCTGTTAGTTATATCTTTATTAATATGTGATATGAGCTTCAAGTACTCTTTGTAGTCTATACTTCTTAATATACCTTGTTAAAACTTAGTATCCCCGACCCCCACGTCGCTAGCCCTATCCTTACCGGGTAGGATTTAAGTTCCCTGGATGCAGACAGCTGAAATTGGGACCTTACCAACTGCAAAACAAACAATTGGGAGACCGTACTCGTCAAGAGTTCGAGAGAGGTTTGTGCAATTTTGCCTTTGCCTTGAATAGAAACGCCTTAAGGAATGACACGATTTGATTAATAAAGTGTAAGAGTTCAATTTGACTCATCTTCCCAGTATCAAGCTATTACGAACTCCGTCTTATACCTTGACATTATTAGTCACAATCAAATCTCTGCATTCCATGGTACAAAAAGATGACTATTGCAGTCGAGGTATAAGACGAAGTTTGTAATAGCTTGACATTGTTAAGACGAAGTTTGTAATAGCTTGACATTGTGAAGATGAAGTTTGTAATAGCTTGACATTGTTAAGACGAATTTGTAATAACTTGACATTGTGAAGATGGATACGACACGATGAAGCAGAAAGCGTTAGCACTCCCCATTCCACTGTTCACCATAATATACAGTAAATGCAATTTTAAGCAAGCAATGACAGCAAGTGTAAAACCCATCTTTGATATTCTAATTTATTTAGCCTATTATCTCTAGATATACCATAAACATCAGTTTAATATAACTCTTTACACCCTTAATTATCTCCACTTACATCTCCTCGAACTCCTTCTATTGATGATCTATAGATAGGGTAGGGAGTATAGTAGGGGTCATTATTTCTCTCGTATTTAATCATATTGTTTAATATCAGAGATTAGAGAGAAGTATTGATGTTTACATAGTTCTAAAGTTGTTAACTTCTTTCAGTGAGATATTCATATAGCCTGGCACGGGAACGGAGAGATATTCATATAGCCTTGCACGGGAACGGAGAGATATTCATATAGCCTGACACGAGAACGGAGAGATATTCATATAGCCTTGCACGAGAACGGAGAGATATTCATATAGCCTGGCACGAGAACGGAGAGATATTCATATAGCCTGGCACGGGAACGGAGAGATATTCATATAGCCTGTCACGGGAACGGAGAGATATTCATATAGCCTGACACGGGAACGGAGAGATATTCATATAGCCTGGCACGGGAACGGAGAGATATTCATATAGCCTGGCACGGGAATGGAGAGGGATTCAAAGGGACCTTCCGCTTTTTTTGTAGGTCGAAAAATGTTCAATTCGAGATAAAATGTTGAAAATCTACTGTTCTTATTAAATATTGATTTGAATATGTCTGTCAAATGTGAATAATTATCAGAATAGCTTCAACGATGTACTTGGCATTTAAATTTTACGAATCCGTCTCATCCGCAAATACAGCCAATCATAGTCCTGGTTTATACACGTAGCCATATTGTTTACATTCTTTCTTCCAAAAGTTTCACTCGCGTACAATAAAAACTAAACATTGCATTTACTAACTTTCGTGTTACAGTGCCTATTTATGTCAAGGTATGCGATGCGATGGATTTTGTAACGTATCGTAGTCCTGTATCTTGATAAGTATCGTATTGTAGCCCTTGTATCGAGATAAATATCATATCGTTTCTCTGCGTCGTGATACGTGGCAATTCGGATCCCCTGTATCGTGATACGTATCGTATTGTAGGCCCTATGTCGTGTCGCAATTCGGATCCCCTGTATCGTGATACGTATCGTATTGTAGGCCCTATGTCGTGTCGCAATTCGGAGCCCGTGTATAGTGATACGTATCGTATTGTAGGCCCTATGTCGTGTCGCAATTCGGAGCCCGTGTATAGTGATACATATCATATCGTAACCGTGTATCGTGATTCGTATAAAATCGTAGTACCTGTATCGTCATACGTATCATATCGTAGCCCTGTATCGTGATACCTACCATATCGTACCCCTGTATCGTGATGCGTACCATATCGTACCCCTCTATCGTGATACGTATCATATCGTATCTCTGTATCGTGATACGTACCATATCGTACCCCTGTATCGTGATACGTACCATATCGTACCCCTCTATCGTGATACGTATCATATCGTATCTCTGTATCGTGATACGTACCATATCGTTGCCCTGTATCGTGATACGTACCATATCGTGGCATGGTTTGCAATTGCAAAAACTAAATGGCAGTTTGTCTACATTCTATAAATCTCAGATTGATCTGAAGATTTCAATTTTATCTCCACATTTTATATATCTGAATTATAATTGGATGTACAGTGCTTCCACAATATAAAACATAAACTTTTGACAGTCAACAAAATTCTTAGTCTCTTTAACTCCAACCCATAGACAGTCACTTTGAAATTCTAGCTTACCACGTGTCTCCTCTCTTGTATATAAACCTAATAAAATTAACTTCCTACTCACAACTCTATCAAGAAGACAATATGACTTTCATTTCTATTTTGATGCTGGTAATTATTTTACCGTGTGTTGTTTCTCTACAAATTCTCAGCCCTAGATTTCCTTCACCCATTAGAAAGGCTGTTGATGGAGAAAAAAAAGGTAAAATTTTTCATTAATAATCTAGAAATTATATGATATAGTCTAAGGCGCATCTTTAGGATGGAGACATTTTGTGCATGGCCTAGTTTGTTTGGAACTATTCTCTTTTAGGGAGTAAACGTTGCAACTGTGTACTAATGACAAAGTTACGAAAGTACAGGGACAGGACTTAAAGTTCTTAAATGTAAATTAGCGAGACCATTTCCAGATTCCAAATCTAAGTACTAGTACTAATAGAGGATAGTCTGAGACTATGGAGATATCAGAGACTTTTCTGACTCATTTTAAACTACGTTTTATGCTAAACAAGAGGTTAACGAGTACAACATCTTGACAATGAACATCGTCTTATACCTTGACTACTATAGCCACCTATCTTGAAGATCGTAATAGTTTGACATTGTGCAGACGAGGGTACAGTGACCCACTATGATTGATGATGACAGTTTATAGTAAAAAAAAAACAGCCACAGAAAGTTGTTTGAATATAACAAATCTAAATGTCAGTTTTATGTCTATTTCAGATTGTTTTACGACTGCTGCATTTCGCACGAATGTGAGAAATCGTTATTCTAAAATTAGGTCTGAAATAAGCTCCAAGAATTGTACAAAATTGTGTAAGAACGATACCAAATGTGGCACGTCTGTGCATATTGCTTCTGGTCACTACAAAGGATGTTATCTTTTTTTGAAACCAGCCTTTTCTAGGACATATGGAACAACGTTTGAAGATTGTAAAAAACAATGTCTGGCAATAGATGCTTGTAAATCATTTTTATTATATTATTCCTGTACCTTGTTTAACGTTCCGTACAGTGAAATACCACAAGCTCAAATCGAAATGAAAATAAATTCGACAATAGTAGATAGAATCTGCTAGGGAAGAATTTTGAGAAATTACCGAACCCTTCAACACACTTCCCTAACCCCACCCTAACCCAGCTCTACCCAATCCTAACCCTAACCCAACCCTAACCCTAACCCTAACCTAGCTCTAACCTAACCCTAACTCTAACCCTACATGCCTGGGTCTGTGCTTTCGTAACATTGCTTAACTGCAATGTTACAACCTAAAATTCCTAACCCTTAAACACCCTTCCCTCTCTATATTGTACCAGTAGTGACAGTTTAATAAGATTCCAAACTGTAACTAAAATTGGCATATTTTATTATTTCTGATATTATCTTTGTTTCTACTGTTTTTATTTCTTATTGTAGACACACTAGGTGTCGTTTTTTCATTCTAAAGTCTTGTATGTACTGGAAATTGAGCTTGTTATATTAATCTAATAAATTCTTTTAACATGAAGATGTTTGTCTATTGTAAAATATATAAATTCATTTTACCTCTATAATCACTTTTAATATCGAGGTCGTATAAAGGGTCCACTTCAATATCGAGGTCGTATAAAGGGCTCACTTCAATATCGAGGTCGTATAAAGGGCTCACTTTAATATCGAGGTCGTATAAAGGGCTCACTTCAATATCGAGGTCGTATAAAGGGTTCACTTTAATATCGAAGTCGTATAAAGGGCTCACTTCAATATCGAGGTCGTATAAAGGGTCCATAGGGGGGTGGCACAATGGTGTTCTGATGAACTATGAGATGGTGGGTGGTACAATGGTGTTCTGATGCACTATGAGATGGTGGGTGGTACAATGGTGTTCTGATGAACTATGATATGGTGGGTAGTACAATGGTGTTCTGATGAACTATGAGATGGTGGATGGTACAATGGTGTTCTGATGAACTATGAGATAGTGGGTGGCACAATGGTGTTCTGATGAACTATGAGATAGTGGGTGGCACAATGGTGTTCTGATGAACTATGAGATAGAGGGTGGTACAATGGTGTTCTGATGAACTATGAGATAGTGGGTGGTACAATGGTGTTCTGATGAACTATGAGATAGTAGGTGGTACAATGTTGTTCTGATGAAATATGAGATAGTGGGTGGTACAATGGTGTTCTGATGAACTATGAGATGGTGGGTGGCACAATGGTGTTCTGATGAACTATGAGATAGTGGGTGGTACAATGGTGTTCTGATGAAATATGAGATCGTGGGTGGTACAATGGTGTTCTGATGAACTATGAGATGGTGGGTGGCACAATGGTGTTCTGATGAACTATGAGATAGTGGGTGGTACAATGGTGTTCTGATGAACTATGAGATGGTGGGTGGCACAATGGTGTTCTGATGAACTATGAGATGGTGGGTGGTACAATGGTGTTCTGATGAACTATGAGATAGTGGGTGGTACAATGGTGTTCTGATGAACTATGAGATGGTGGGTGGTACAATGGTGTTCTGATGCACTATGAGATGGTGGGTGGCATAATGGGTGTTCACAGGCAATTCTTTACCTATGTTAGCTGTAAGAAGATTGAAAGGGGGTGTGGGCAAAACGGCCCGAGCCTCAGTTTAAGTTATATCTTGTCATAAACTCAAGGGCACACGCAAGACTCTAATCGGCGACAAAAATCTCGGACCAAGACTGAGTGCCCGCACCTTAGGCCAATGAATCCGCCAATCAAATGAATTGGTTGGAAATTTGGACAAGAGAATTGAAGACACCGGACACAAAACGGCAGATCTCCTCATCAGTAGTATTTCTATAAATCATAGTAGACCGAGTATGAAACTCCCTACCCCATCTCCAACCTCACTGATCCCCATCCCCTCTGATTAAGTCTCCTACGCCTGTAAGCTCTTCATTGTTTTTCCAAATTCAAATCAAAGGAATCATATATATAACATTTTTGATTAACAAACTTTTAATATTAACAGATATTGTACAAGGGGCATAACTCTATTTAACCACCAAAATTTGTAAAATTCAAAATTGGTCCTCCATATATTTTGTTTTTTTTTTTGCTCATGTTATAACGAACCATAATAATGTTGGTAAATAGGCAAACTGTCTAGCGTCCATTACGGTCAATTCAATATACGGAGCCGTCCATTTTCAATCATTTTACATCAAGATAATGTTGAAATTACTGGCCACTTTATTAATATCAAAACAAAATAAAAACAGTATAATAAGTTGACTACATATCAACGTCACTGCTACTGTTGCTAGAAGTCGGACTGGCGTCCATGCTGATCTTGGGAGAACCGTCACGTGTTCTCTTCTTACCAATATGATTGGTTGTAGATGATGACGTAATAATCTCGTGCTTATGTTCTAACATCATGTGATTGACAGGGGCCAATCCAATACAAGCTCTTAGAACGTTTTCAATACATGCACGTTGTCTGAATAAAGCATTGACGACAGGAGTTCCACGAGGAACTAATGGAGCCTTGCATAGAAAACTCAGAATTGATAGGACAGAGTTGAATCTTTGAAAATCTTCGTCGCCTTCAACTTTAAACTGAATTCTCTCACAGATTTCGGCTAGTACGATCAAGTCTATAATTAGAGGTGAAGCGAGTAAGGAATCTTCACATGTATTATGAAGAACTATAGTGTTGGTACCTCCCATCATTATCTCAGAAGTATATTCGTCCATTGCTCTCTTGCTGTCACCTACATATGGTACGTATTTAATAACAACACAGTGATCAGGCTTCTCGTCTTTCTCAAACAGTATTTTATTCGAGGCTACCATATCGTCCACAACATTGCTCTTTGATATCTGTAAATATAAAGATATACTTTGTTTAAATATAGAGATATACTTTGTTTAAATATAGAGATATACTTTGTGTAAATATAAAGATATACTTTGTGTAAATATAAAGATATACTTTGTGTAAATATGAAGATATACTTTGTGTAAATATAAAGATATACTTTGTGTAAATATAAAGATATACTTTGTGTAAATATAAAGATATACTTTGTTTAAATATGAAGATATACTTTGTGTAAATATGAAGATATACTTTGTGTAAATATAAAGATATACTTTGTTTAAATATAGAGATATACTTTGTGTAAATATAAAGATATACTTTGTGTAAATATAAAGATATACTTTGTTTAAATATGAAGATATACTTTGTGTAAATATGAAGATATACTTTGTGTAAATATAAAGATATACTTTGTTTAAATATAAAGATATACTTTGTGTAAATATAAAGATATACTTTGTTTAAATATAAAGATATACTTTGTGTAAATATAAAGATATACTTTGTTTAAATATAAAGATATACTTTGTGTAAATATAAAGATATACTTTGTGTAAATATAAAGATATACTTTGTGTAAATATAAAGATATACTTTGTTTAAATATAGAGATATACTTTGTTTAAATATAGAGATATACTTTGTGTAAATATAAAGATATACTTTGTGTAAATATAAAGATATACTTTGTGTAAATATAAAGATATACTTTGTGTAAATATAAAGATATACTTTGTGTAAATATAAAGATATACTTTGTGTAAATATAAAGATATACTTTGTGTAAATATAAAGATATACTTTGTGTAAATATAAAGATATACTTTGTGTAAATATAAAGATATACTTTGTGTAAATATAAAGATATACTTTGTGTAAATATAAAGATATACTTTGTGTAAATATAAAGATATACTTTGTGTAAATATAAAGATATACTTTGTGTAAATATAAAGATATACTTTGTGTAAATATAAAGATATACTTTGTGTAAATATAAAGATATACTTTGTGTAAATATAAAGATATACTTTGTGTAAATATAAAGATATACTTTGTTTAAATATAAAGATATACTTTGTGTAAATATCATCTGTCAATAATAACCTAGAGATGTATCGCAGATGCGTAAAATTGTATCCTCCACTGGATACCTCATTTAAAGGGAAGTAATTCTTGGCTCTTCAATAGAATTCCATTGTGTTCTGAATGTAGAGAAATCTCAACTTACCTCTTTTGATCTGAATGTTTGTGGTGCGGAGAGATTTTTACCATCATTATTACCGAGATGATTATAACTGACAATAGACACTGGTTTTATACCAGCTGATACTAGGAAATCAACCAAAACTGACTTTATCTTCGTTTGTCCAGACTTAAAATCATCACCAGCTATGAAGACTTTTCTTTTTTCAGCAAGTTCTAGAACTCCGGGTACAAAAGTGTTCTGCGGAGATCCATTTATGTATGTAACGCCCTCTAGGATTGAAGCAACGGCGAATAATGTCGATGGTGAGATTTCACTCTCTTCAGCTCTGATAGCATTGGATAAATGGTCCCACGTGTCATTCAAACCGGTTATGACGTTACTGAATCGTTCAGTATTAGCTGTCCACAAGATAATGACCTTGTCGACGCCACTAGATTCTTTAAAGTCTCGAATGTCCTTTCGAATTTGGTCCACCATTTGACTTTTGGTTCCTTCCAAAACATTGTCAGCTCTATCAGATTGGTTGGCAGCTATAAAGTCGGGAAAATAGATAGATGGTCGGGGTTTGAGGTCTTTGAGGTGAGGTTGTAGTTGTTCTTGTAGGTTGTAATCCAACACTTTAGCCCGTGACATACTGTCAGCTAGGTTTAAACCGGAAATATCCCATCCTGAAAGATAAAAGTATGAAAATAAATGAAATGGAGAAATATCTCATCTTCGTCTGGTATCTTGTTGGAATTCACGAGTACGGTGGAATCAATTGGTCTACTCTCTATCTATTTCAAACTAAGTCTCTATCTTTACCGCCATTCGCGGTGGCTCAACTACCATAGGGGCTGGTTTAACCAAGTCTACGGGGCCCCCCTTACTAAAAATATCAACAGGCGTTAATTGATTTACAGAGGGGTCTCGGAATGCAGGAGAGGGAATGTTAAATATAAATTTCTCCGGGGGAGGGGACCTGACCTACTTCGTACTCGGATCTAAATAGGCAGTATTTCCTTTTCCTAACTAAATGATCGTTTCCATTATGGCGGAAACCTTTCTGTCTGCTGTCGAATTTAGCCAATCCAAGCTTGGAATTCCAAACTTAAAACTGAAAGACAAACAACTGGAGGCATTAAAAGCTTGTTACAATGTTAAGGATTGTTTAGCTATCCTTCCAACTGGATATGGCAAAAGTCTGATATATCAGCGGTTTGTTTACATTAAGTCTAAGTCGTTTCGCCGTGCGTAGTCTTCGGTAGTTTTCGGCTGTGAAAAGATGCACCCGTCGTTTCGTCTCACTTCCGGTATTAATGTCTACGCGTGAACTATTTTAAACATGGCTGGTCAATAGGTCAGGGTAATATCTCCGATAGGTAGAATTTCTCTGTTGATCAGGATGTGCGATCCCATGAATTAACTACTTTATACCTGAAAAAAATATACGGCATATAGCTACGTCTTCAAACGTCTTAATGATCGTGTCTTAACAATTCGTATCATAATATACACATGTATTCCTACCAAAATTACATGAAAACGCGTTCATTCGACCCGGCCCCACGGTTCATTTTAGTCCTAATTTCCATATCTGAACCCTCATTCATCTCTCCAGCCAAACATAATCATTTTATAAACCAAACTAAATGCCTTTCGAAGTAACAGTTTTAATAACACGTATATTGTAGTGCGTGTAAGTGTCTGTTTTTGTTCTGGATGGAACCAAGTTTAAAAAAAAACGAGCAAGTTTTGTCCATTTCATAGCGTCAGTTTATAATACGTAAAATACCATCAAATGTTTTAGGTGTGAAAGTCGACACCGGGTCGAATCGACTCGAGGGTGTACTGACACAGGCATCTGTTTGTCTTATCTTGAGGAGGATTCGAACCCAAAACACCTAATGGCCTAGCCTATTCAATCTAGATCGTTTACGACTGAGGTATTCCAATGCCATGAAAGTCTTAAAATCTGAAAACCGTTGCTCCGAGAGACGAAGCCCACTTACCGTCAAGAACAATGTCATTAGGGTTAACCAGGGGTAACAGACCACTCATTGGGATATATTCTTCTTCACCAAATTCATTATTACCCACACAAACTGTACTAGCTTGGGTAATACTTCCAAAATAGTTCGCCTTTCTCTCGCCCTCCTTCGTCATCCATTTTAAACCCAGTTTATTAGCTAAGATGGCTGCCGTAACAGTTGTGCCGTTATTTCCGCCCCATCCAACAAGCATCACTCCCAACTTGGGAACTCTTCGTTCAGTTCGGAAAGTATAGTGGGTCGTGGTGGGTTGGGCAATGATTCGCACATTTTCTCTCCTCACTTTCGAGTTGGTATATTCGTACTCAGCTTCTATAAACTTTTCGGTGTATTTCACATTTGGGCTGTCAACGACGACGGAATCCATTTTATTTTGTTTTCTGAAATATAAGATAATTTTCAATAAATTAACAATGGAAAACATATGATAATAAGAGTAATTTGTAAAAGGTGGGCGTGGTTTGGGTACCGGTAAGGCGTGGCTTCAGTAGGGCATGGCTCTAATCCAAAAAGTCGTGGCTTATGTAAAGATAAGGCGTGGCTTTAAATCATTGTTAAATGATTAACATTTGCTTGGGCTAAGATAGAGAGTTTCTGGGGTAAAGCCAGAAGTAGAGTCAACGTCACATCGGGTCCGATGGTCCTTTGTTTGATTAACTAAAGGCCTTGGTCAGTTATTCTGTATTTGTGGGAAACGACTGGTCTATATGATGACAGATCAATAAATACTATTAAATATATAACTCTACTCATACTAATGACTAACTAATTTTCACATAATCAATAGACTTATCTGTTGCTCTGTGACCTAGGCCAGTGCTTTCATTGAGACTCGTCTCAATACACCCTAACACTAACTACTATTATAGCTAAAACAAAACAACTTTATACATTTGTATACATGTAATATGTCTGTCAATATCTCAAAATGTAGAGATGATTCAAGATGTTCTCTGGATGGTCTCTATGCATTTATGACAAAAATTTCCATTTCTGAGACTAAAGAAGACTATGATTGGTCAACAACAAAAATGGCGCAATTGTGGCTTTAAGTTTGTTTCTTATTTGAATTACACAAACAGGAATCGAGAAGTTGAAGGGCTACACAAAATCTATAAATGTCCCCCGTGTATCGAACGTTTGGGCGAGTTAGCCTCACTACTTTTAATCGGCGGCTTTCAAAAGGCGGCTAACTTGACAGCTCGAATCGACGGCTACACGAAAAGGTGGCCAAATTGTCTTCAGTTATAACAATATTCTTGTAAATTCAAATAAGATTAGAAGTAAGTCTCGTTTATGCCACGTAAAGAAGTATAATTATTACAAATGAATCTTGTAATAAACTTCTGCTCCAGTCTATTTATTATCTTCGACCTTCACCCGCCGGTCTTCTCGGGGCAGGTCATCAGAAATTTCCAGAATATAAACTACATGAAAAGTTAGTAAATGACATGGCCTTGCGGGTACGGTCAGACTGTTCACGCAGACTCGATACAACCTGTGTAATACGGCCACTGAAGATTCTAGAAGTTTTTCCCGCCAATAGATCGATGGCGCGTTCCAGTCACGAGTTGACATTCCACACGTCGGTGAAGATATAAAGGAACAACTCCTAGTAATTGTGATATGAACAAATTTTATATGTGAAATATTTTGTCCAAAAGATAAAAAGAATTAAAATATTCTGGTATATTTTAGAATTTCTGGTATCCTTTCTGCACTAAGTTTTTACGTTTTAGTTTGAATTTTTACAAAGCATGAATGAACGTCAGGAACGTGCAAACAGACGAGTTACTGCACGTGCAGCGTCTTCTGACAAAAATTACTTGTCTTTTGCTCAAACGTTTAATTTTTATTTTAAATCAACTATGTGAATATTTAAACAGGTGAAGTCTGGTGGAGTTTCTTAGTGATAAAACTAGACTAAACCACTTCTACCGAAGCCATAATAGGTCGAGTTTTCCACTCCGTAGGCCTAGCGTAATATTTATATATTTTACTCGTGTCTCTCTATCATGATTTTGTAATTGAAAACCATCCTCTAAAGGTCCGTTTATACTGAGCGCGACCGCGACCATTGCGACTTTTCGCGCGACCTTCCGCACGGATCATCGTTCGTATTGAAAGCGACGTTATGTGCGTAAATTCGCTGATGAAACGAGCTCGGTCGTAGTCGCTTAGTATAAACAGACCTTAAGAGTCTGAATACGCTAATATCAGTGAGGTATTTAGGGTTGGAGTGTGGTGCCTTATTATTATTTCTGAATAAAGAATGCCACAAACCTCAGAGGGCACAAATATTTCAAAAAATGTTCACCTGATTTTCGACCAATGGATCGATCCATGTATATGTCAAGTCATGTATAGACAACGACAAGCCATCAGAAAGATAAAGGTGAAACCTACCTTACTCGGAAAGTTTGTCTGGCTTGTTAAATAGTTGAGATTTTAACACAAGTTAAACAACCCAATTCGGGTATCTTGTAAGAAAAACTAGCAAAAAGCTTCAAAATATTAAAACGTGGTTTTAACGGTATCGGTATGATCGATATAGACGTATAGCTAACATTTATAGGTTTCGTGGCCATTTCAAGAATATTCGAGAGAGACCGCCCAATGTTAAATATTCAAATAGCAAGCTAATCAGTCAACATTGGAAATTTACCCTCGCGTGAATTCCGCTAATTCATTGAAGCTTCTAGAACTGCCAGTGTTAAACGGTCAGAAATAATAAAATAACGTAAAATGCGTCGTTTTTTCCGATTGGGGGAACGGGCGATAATAATAATAACAATCTTTGTTGGCCCACATGATGTAGAAAAAGTAGGACGGCATTTCAGTTTTTGTCCCATTTTATGTATACACTTAGGCCCCGAAGTCGTCACAATTTGTCGAAATCGTCAGTCGTATTTTATTTACCAGTCGTGGTCTTTAAAAGTTATTTAATTGAACAGTTAGCTGAATACATTCAAGTTTGTTCTGTATAATATATGTAATATACATAAAATTATAGTTGATAAATAAATAGCACAGTGATTTATTTACATAACAGTTTAAAAAATCAGTCATATTTTTACTGAATAAAAAAAAAATTGTTGAAATTGGACAAAACGATTCGCCGTGAAAATTCTGCTAGAAATCTGCCACGTTTTCAATAAAATTTCAGCTTCACTGAAACTGTCGAAATTTGCCGATTTTTTAAAATATTGACTTTAGGTCTTTTTCTGGAAAATCAGGACTACAGGTTGCATTTAACATTGGCCCGAGTCTTAGAAAGTGGTCCGAGTTGTCTGAAATTGGGCTCTTAAAAAAAGTGGTCCGAGTTGTCGTTGAAAAACACAAAATTGTCCGAGTTGTCATTGAAAAAAAAAATGGTCCGAGTTGACTGTTGTTGGAGTTGTCTTATATTCCACTTCCCACCCTTTTGTTGATTGGTTGGAATTTAATAAAATATCGTACGATATTGTATAACAGAAATACAGCAAAAAATAGCCAAAGTCCATTTTGTTCAAATTCCGACAAATATAAACCCAAATTTTAGAAAAACATGAGAACGCGGAATAACTCACATGAAAATATCATTATACACAAACTGAACAATAAATTTTTCAATGTATAAAACTAGCGAGCCGCCATTCTGCATACTAATAGACTAGAGGTCGACTGGCAAAGACACGCCGAAGCCATTATTATCAATTAAAATGGCTTATTGTTCGTTTTAACCCCATGTGAATATAAAATTTGAAATATTTCCTTGTACTTACCTTCAATAAGTTTGAAGTACTTTGATCCTATCTACTTCCTTATTTTTTCTTCTGAATCTGTATTGTTTCTCTTTTCTATCGCCGGTGATCGACTCAATTGGCCACGTGTCTCGTCTGATGCCGACAACCAATCAAAAGACGAGGAATTAATTATAGTCGCGATCAATGAGTACTCGGTGGCCTTGTGAAATCTGGTCAGTTAGAGTGTTACTATAAATAGACCTACAGTGAGTAGTAGTATAGTATTGTATGATATTGTCTAAAGAATATTGGTAGAAATGTCACGTGATCACGCTTTAGTTCTATACATTATAGATTTTAGATTTATTAAGAATGTTCGAGCCATCGGGCAGCAATCGTGAAAATATAAAATCAGATATTAATACAACACGTCATATAAGACAAGAGATCGAACATTCATTAATAACAGAGGAATCTAATGACCAGTGTATATCATAGTACCTACAGTCTCAGAGGCTGGCGCCGCCACTATATAGGCCTGTACCCTTACCGTACCCAAAAACTGAAAGGAGATGAGAACTTGGAGGGTGGGGCGGCGGTTGTGATACATGGCTCTACAAATGTCTTTGGACCACGACAAAGCGAAACTGTGATGTTTCTAAAGAGGGGGTTGAGGGGCAGGGCTCAGGCTATGCTTTTCATTAATTGATAAAATGTTTGTAAATAAGTTATCCGACGCAGTTTGTTATAGCTTAACATTGCGACGATGATTTCAAGTTCAGTCAGTGACCATAGTTCTTTGTTCACACTAATTACCAATTTCCACATAATAAACAATAATCACTGATGTTAAACTGTTAACTGATCTAGAACACCGCTTATACACATTAACATCAAAGTAAGGACCGAAATTTCGAACTTTGACTGATCGATTAGTAGGACTTCTAAAGTCTATCTATATACATGGACGATGATAAAGGCTAATATTTTGATATTTAGATTGGACCAGCTTTAATAACAATTATTCCAATCAGTAGACTTGATATTTTAAATATATATCTATATGTATTGACATTAATTATATATCAATTAAGATAAATGATAGCCTATTAAACTGTATGCGTTATGTTGACAAACATCAATAATGTAGTACTGACTGCTCAAAGTGCGAATTGGGCCTAGGTTCAGTCAACAAAGGCTGAAAGAATTAAGCAGTAGTCCATTATAAAAATGTTAGTTATAGACAATTACTTTTTCATATTGGATTTGAGCTTTTAATTTTCACTCCGTACAATTAACAATATTGGAGAATTTTTACAAGATCATTGTATTAAAGTTTCCAGTACCAGTTAGTCCAGAGGTTTCAACCTTTTTCTTTCTATTACCCCTTTTAGGATCCTTGATCGTTTCCCTCTCCTCTATAAATCTGTACTATTTCGTGATTTTCTCTTGCAGTCTTTTCATATTGGAGAATATAGCCTGACTGAATAGAAATTATAATTGTCAAAAAAATCTGATGCTAGAAAAATGTCAAAATGAGCCCTTGGGTTGGGGTTTACCCCGCGGTTGAAAACCCCTGAGTTATGCCAATGATTCGAACGGACTAATATCATGAGTTCAATCATATAGTCAAAGGGAAGCAACTCCAATTAATGAGTGAATTAAAGATGGCGGCCTCCAGTGAGAAGCAAACTAAGACAAAATTAAAAATAAAAATGAGAGT